TTCGCCCAATTGAAAGCCAAAAAACTTCCAGCACGATGGGTGGATTTCGACGTGGTGGTAGCCTGACTTGAGATCGATTGTGAACATCCAGTCGTTTGGGCGAATGATTTCCGCGACCCGACTCAAGCCTTCGTACTTGAACTTGGGAACTTGGAGGTGAGCGTTGACCTTCCGCAGGTCAAGGATGAGCCGACATTTGTCTCGTTGCTCCACAACATTGAGCGGGCTGATGCACGTAAGTGCGGCTTTCGACGAGACATGCATCGCGGCGCCTGACGCGATGAGGTCGCTGACCGCGTCTTGGGTGAATGCCATGTGTGCTTGGACGCCTGCGTGATTGGGCGCTTCGAAGGGGAGAGGCTCCGCGCCCTTCCATGGTAGCCAGTACCCTCTGGCAATGATGGAAAGGATAAGACTGCTGTCGCACCATGACAGCCACCAATGGAGGCTATTGCGCAATCGCATGCGCATGATGGACACCATGTTGTCCGTTATTGCGTCCTCGTATGGGTCCCAATGAGCACTCCGCCACTCGCCTTCCACTTCTGCAATTAATGGGCAACCGAGGTTGTGGGGGGGAGGGGGGGGGGGGGGACCAGGACCAAGGTCGATTAGGCGCGAGATAATACGGGACGCTTTGTGGGGCAAACTATGTCGCTTGTCTTCTACCGCCGTCGCGCCTCCCCGCACTCCCGGGGTTTTTTTTTTTTTTTAACACTTCGCTTGAGCAACCCTCAGCTTTGACACTCTTGCATTGTTTTTTTTTTTTTTTGGATTGCCTTACAACGAGATTGGCGCATTTGCGTCACTAGGTCCCACGACCTTGTTCATCACGATGTCTTCGAGTGACGGTTCCTCTCTCTCTCTTCTCTCTACTTCGATCTCTCTCTATATCTCTCTCTCTCTCTCTCTCTTCTCTCTTCTCTCTCTCTCTCTCTCTCTCTCTCTCTCTCTCTCTCTCTCTCTCTCTCTCTCTCACTCTCTCTCTCTCTCCCCTTCTTCTTTGTTTTTCTCTTGGTCCTTGCTTTGTCATTCACCCCTAGCCAATCCTTCCTCCATGGCTGCCTTCCTCAAGAGGGGCTGGATTTTTTATTGGTTGTGCCATTTGTCTTCTCTCCTCATGTTGTCTCCCTTCTCTCTCTCCATTGTTTTTTTTTTTTTTGTCCAACAACAAATTCTTTTATTAATCCACACAAAGGCATACAAGCCTAGGCCTACACAATAACCAGCCCCTACGGCTGCCATCTTGCCCTGGCCCCCATGGCCTATATTACGTTCCAAGGCTCCTAACCAGCCTACGCACCACCGGTGCATCCACCTACGCCCCCCGGCATAGTGGCAAGGGGCGCCGCCCCATGGGTCCTCTCACACCACGGGTGCGGGGACCTTGTGCGCCACGCCCTCCCATAGGGCAATTGTTTGCCATATGGCCGGGCTGGCCGCAACGGAAACACACCCCCTTGAAGCGGGGCTCGTGGCAGCCCGCGGGTGGCATGCCCTTGCTTTCCGGTTCACCGTCTCGAGGGGGAAGGCGGCCTCCGCGGGCGAAGCCGGTACGTGCACGCTTGAGGGCCGCCACGTCGGCTACCGCGAGCTTGTAAGAGCGGGACGTGAGCACGCTCTTGGCTTGGTACAGCTGGAACCGATCCGCCGCTTCGAAACCGGCCTCATCCGCCACCAAGAGCACCTCGAAGCGTTTGTTGATCAACGTTTCGATTTGCTCCACGTTGGAGAGCGCGCCCTCGACGTCGCCGTTTTGGAGCTTGAACTCGACGTGCCTCAGGTGAGCTTGAATTGCGGAGAACACCTCCGCCTGGTCACGCACTCCCTTGCGCATGAAGGTAGTAGCTGCGGGTGTTGTAGGTTAAGAGGGGGAAGGGGAGGTGCGGGTGCGAGAATGCGACGACGAGCAAGGTTGTCGGGGGCCTCACCGTCTTCATTTTCCGAGTCGTCGCTGTCGTCGGGGATACGGGCTTGGGTTGGTGCCGGAGCCGGGGCGGGAGCAGGAGCAGCGTTGTTGGTGCGAGCGATTTTGGTGGAGCGGGGGGCTGCGACGTTTTCCTTCTGCTTTTCGATTTTAGCGGAAGCGGAAATTTCTTCCGTTGATGTAGCTGCAGTCGATGGAGCGTGCTGCTGCAATAACGAGAGCAGCGCCTGCAGCTGCTGCGCAGTCAAAGGGGGGGGGTGCGTTTACCGGGGTGATGTCAGTGGAGGGTGCCGCGCGCTGGCGTTTCTGGGTCGTGGGCCCGGATGGACCCGCGTCAGCGCCGGTCAAGACGGCCGCCGCGTCAGCGGCGGTCGTCGTCTTCTGCGCAGCACGCGCGTGCCTGCTAGGCGCGCGCGCGCGCTCTTCAGCAGCAGCCACGCGCGACTGTACAACAGTCGCGCGTTCCTCAGGGGGGGTCCGAAGGGTGCCTCCGAGCAGGAGGTCGACCGCCGAGGGTCCCTCGCTTGAAATTTCTTCGGCGGGACGTTTTCCGCCGCGACGATCCGTTGTCCCGGCCGGAGTCGAGGTTTCCGCCGCGTTACCGGGGCTAGAAATATTCGAGTTGTCGCGATTAAGTGCCGGGTTGACTGGAGCCATCGCTGCGAGGTTGCGCTTAAGGATGTCGTTAAGAAGCGTTGACGGGGCAGTGAAGCGCGGAAGCGATAGAGTCTTCGCCAGTGTGGACGAGAACGAAATTAGAACTACAATTTTGAAAATGAAAACGTGGGTGGGGACGAATGTCCCCACGTCCCTCTTTTGTAGGCAAAAGAGGGTGAGTAGCGCTTCGGCGCTACCTTTGCTGTGTTGGCCACGTACCCCTTTTCACAATACAAAATTTTAGAAAGTGTTACATTTCATTACACTTTCAAAAATTATCATATCAGAACTGCTTATTGAAGACTTCAGATCAGAGCAGAGGTGGATAGGAATTCAGTCCATGATTTCTACAGTTAGTATTGCCAACTCGCGAACATGTTGCAAAGAAACACAACAGTCAGCCCATTTTCATTACAGCAACACACAATCAACACAAATGCACGCAAGAAAACAATACCGTACATCCCAATGCCAAGCAGAGGCACAGTTACTACCTATTAAAACGTCCACTCTGCCCACAGCCACAACTACGGTAAGACACAACTAGTATTCTACCCTCACCAAACCACGCAACTGCTAAAAAAAAAGTGGTCCAAACACGCACATAAATTCCATACCTCGTTCGCCCCCTACCAGAAAATCCCACATTTTGTTCTACGTCAGGAGTTACCAAGTTACCATGTTAACCGACCATTCATGTTGCCCTGCCTGCATGCTTTCCCCATACCCAATGCTCTTCATCACCACCAGCCTCCCAACCACAACCTACTACCTGCCCTCCTTGCATTGACTCCGTTACCAAGTAGTATTCCCCGCCCCTCTCTCTCTCCCTCTTTGTACACTTCCCCTTTCCTCTCAGCCCCCTCTCTTCTCTTCCCTCTCACCCTCCCATCGCCCAACCTCTCCTCGTCACACATTATCACATTTCTCTTCCCCTCTCCTCTCAGCCCCCTCTCCTTGCACCACCTGCTGCTCACACCAACAAGCTCTCCAAGCCCTCCTGAGACATGCTTTCAAAGCTGGCAGCAGCTGCACAGGAGCGCCATGCATGAGCCCTCAAGACTAGCCCACAGTCCCAAGCAGCAACACTTGAGACCCACTCAAGCACTCTCAGGACAATCTCACAGCTCCCAGCAGGTCCTGAGCATGTAAGCAGTGTGCAGGCCACTCTCAGGCCCATGCGCCAGCACCACCCCCGGCTGCAGCACCACTCCCCGCGCACACGGCACTCGCACATACACCTCTCCTTGCACCAGCCCCAGCGCGCCTGCTCCATCCTCATTCTCCACTCCCCCCGAGAACACATCTGGTTGGGAGGATCCCACACATGCCCCTACCATCGCTCCCTCCCACCACTGCCCCTGCTTCCTGCTCCTGCTCCTGCTCCTGCCGCTGCCGCTGCTGCTGCTGTTGCTGCTGCTGCTGCCGCCCCCTGCACTTGCTCCCCCGTCTTGCCCTCCCAGCCCCTCCCCAACCCCAACCCCATCCCATCCCCACCAACGTCCTCCCCTCCCTCCCCCTCCCTCCACGGCCGGTAAGCCAGTGACACCGACCACTGAAGCCGCCTTTTCGCCTCTTCATCCAAACAATCCCCATTCTCTGCCTGTGCCCAGGCCGCAACAGTGGTACACTTACCTATCTGAACCGCCCCTGCCACTGCCACTGACTGCACGGCTGTCCCCGGCTCTTCCTGAGGGGGTAACCACAGCTCCTGCCCTTCTCCTCCCCCTTCCCCCTCTTCTCCCAAGTCCCCTCCCCTCCCCCGCGCCCTTCCCCCCACCCCGCCAACCCCACTGCCAAAACTCGCTTCCGAACTCCCATCCCCTCCCGCGCTCCCCTCTCTCCCTCTCCCCCACCCAAACGGATTAACCCTCGGCAGGACCAACGGTCCCATCTCGCTCCAATGCAGCCCGTTAGAAGCCAGGAGAGGGGGCGCAGGCCAAACCCTATTCAGCGCAGAAAACGCCAAGACCACGTTGTCCTGCGGCTGGAGGGACAGCTGCGCGAGAGAGGAGACGCAGAGCCCGGGGGAGGTGCCATCTGGGTCGGGCGTTACCCCCCAGCCCGAGAGGAAGTGCGCGAGGGAGAAGGAGGCGGAGGCGGAGCGGAGGGTGAGCGCGAGGGCGGAACCCCGCGCGCGGCGGTGCAGAGGCAGGCCCCCGGAAGAGAACCGGGTCAGGCCTTGGTCCTGGGAAAGGGGCGCGGGGAAGAGAGGGGGGATTGAGGAGGGGGAAAGAAGTGAGGCGGAGCGGAGGGTGAGCGCGAGGGCGGAACCCCTGGCACAGCGGTGCAGAGGCAGGCCTCCGGAAGAGAACCGGGTCAGGGCTTGGTCCTGGAGGGGAGCAAGGGGGGAGAGGGGCGAGGGGCGGGGGGAAGGGGGAAGGGGAGAGGTGAGGGGCGAGGATCTTTGCTACATTCAACCCCACAGCTCCCATCCCAGCACCGCTACAGCGATGAGCACATTCTTACAAAACGCGGACAAAAAGAGAAACTACCTAAAACAGAACCGCATCACCAAAAGCACGCACCTTAAGTGAGTTAATCGGCTCTGCCACATCCGACCCCACAGCTCCCAGTGGCACTACAGCCAGACACACCCCATTTTCCAAGAAACTCTAAGCAGCCATCCCTCAAAGCACGCACCTTGAGAGGGTTAATCGGCTCTGCTACATCCGACCCCACGGCTCCCAGCGGCGCTACAGCCAGATGCACGCCGTCCCAGAGAGCCGCACCGTAGAGCACCTTGTGCAGGTTCACAGGGCCGCCTAGCATGAAGCTACTGCTCTCCTCGCCCAGACCAGACGTTAACTCGGTCACTAGTAGGTCCTCAGGTTCTCGTTCTCTCCTCCTCGTCCCTTGCACCGGCCCCCCAGACGGCCCAGCACCGCCGCTTTTCCCGCTGCTGCCACCGCTGCCGCCGCTGTTACCGCTGTTACTGCTGTTACCAGCGTCGCCGGTGTTACCGGTGTTACCGCCTCTGCCCCAGCGTCGGCAGAGCGTGTCTAGGCGCAGTTTCACTGTAAGCCCTGATCGCATGCCCGCCTGCTCCAGACCCGCGCGCGCGGCATGGCTGCGCTCCCCCTCCGCGGGCACGAACGCGGAACCCGCCGCCACCTCCCCGTACATGCGCGTGCGGCTCCCCCCCAGCAGCCCAAACCCAAAACCCCCGCCCAGGTCCATCCCCGCGCCCCCCGCGCCTCCCGCGCTCCCCGCGCTTCCCCCGAACCCCGCGCTTCCAGCGCCGGAGGCGGATGGAGGCGACGCGGGGAAGGCGGTGGCGGCGCCAAAGGGTTGCAGGCGACGAACACCAGTATAGTACTCTAGTTTGTGCAGGCGGTCTTTAACTCTTAGTAGGTCCTGGAAGGCCTCGCGCTGCAGGCGACGAAGGGCGCTCACCTGGATGGGGGCAAGCCGCGGGGGCGGGGAGAGCATGGCGGGGGAAGCATGGCGGGGGGAGCATGGCGGGGGGAGCATGGCGGGGGGATGGTTGTGAGTGACAGTGTCTAAGCATGGGGGAATGGGAATGGTCAGGGGGGTAAGGATGGGGCAGGCGTCAATCTCCTAGCGGGCTTGGGAGAGGTTTCGCGTGGGAAAGTTGGGTTTAGGGAGCTTATCTTGCGTCATCGTATCGCATCGTCCGTATCGTATCGTACCTCCGAGCGGTGCGCGAAGCCGTCTTCCGCGGCCCGCTTATCCAGCATCTGCACCACCAGCTCCGCCGTCTCCGCCATCAGCGCCTGACGTTCAGCGCGGTCCATGCGCTCCAGGCGCGTAGCCGTCATTCCGCGCACCAGCCCCACCAGCCAATCCCACATTCCCTCCGCGCGCTTGTCTTCCGCCCTCCGCCTCCCGCTGCTGTTCCACGGCGAGCTCCGCGGGGTCCCCGCCCCCGCGCCAACCGCCCCGCGCCAGGGGCAGTGGCGGAGGTAAGCGACGCGAGCAGCAAATCGCCATGATATTCATAAGACGCGTCCGCTCGGGGAGTGTTGCGCCTCCCCCTGCCGTTCCCCTTCCGCAATCGTCCCCCAGATTCCCCGCTCCTCTTCCCCAGGTCCCTCTCCCTGTTGATCGTCGCGCTTCCAGAAGCCAACATTCTAGGCGTCTCAGCAACAAACGTCTCTGATGTTTTTTTATGGCTTGACTTAGCGCTTTCCGAAGCCACACTACCAGCTGACTCTTCCCCCTCCTCCTCCTTCGCCTCTTCCATGTCCTCGCGTTGAGCGTCTTTATCCTTATCTGCACGCGATCCAATTTTCAAATCACCGGGATCGTTGCCCCCCGTTCCGCCCTCGCCCCCTTCTCCCCCGCTTCCCCCTCCGTCTCCTCCCCCTCCGCCCCCTCCGCCCGCTCCGCCCGCTCCCCCTCCTCCCCCATTCTCCGCCAATTTATCCATCTGTCCGATCTCTTTTGTCAAGAACGCATGAGCGGAAGAATCGCCCGCGAGCCACGCCGCGGAAGCCGCTGCGACACCGAGGATCGCCGCGCGATCGGCGCTGGCGGAAATTGCGCCAGTTTCCGCGCATCCCCCGCGGTTGTCGCTGCATGCAACAACATGCCCGGTACATTTAGTACCCGAATCACCACGCGGATCGAAGTCATTATCAAATCCATGCTCACTGCGGCTCCCAGCTGGCGTAATCAGATCAAATCTATGCAGATCGGCTTGCACGATCGGATTCAGCGGAGTTGTCGAGAGCACTCTTAGCGAGCGCTTTCTGTGCCGTGAAACGCGTTGCCAGGTCGACGAGGATGATATAGACGATGTTATTGACAGAGCACGCACGGATCGTAACGATCGAGTTGGAGAGGACGATGCGGGATATCGCCGTCTCCTGCTTGATCCATATCGGCCTTCTTGCCAATCTAGCACAGCTTTCGGGCCCTTTTGCACATCTGTCGCGGAAATCGCGGTGCGAATGGCATTCGGGAAGGCGGCGGGGAAGGCAGGCGAGAGGGTGCAATCATTATAGACGCTGTGAGAGGCAACGGATGACTCGGAAGGTGCGCGGAGAGGCGCGCGGAGACGCGGTAGTGTGGCAGCCATGGGGAACGAGACAGTTGATACGATTGGGAAGATGCTGGTGCGAATCCCGCCTAAATGAATTGGTGATTCTGACTAATTCATGCGATTTGTTAACTCGAATTCGCCGGACCTGTTCACGAATCAACTGTGATCAACACTCGCTCCATGTGTTCCAATCCCCTGTTTTACTCTCCCCTAATACGCAGCCCGTTTTCATTGCATTCGGCAACATGGGGGCGCCTGGCTGGTCTGATGGCCTGGTCAGGTTATGTCATGTGAAGTTCGGATGGGGGGATGGAGAAGCCGAAGGAGAAGGGGACCGAGCTGCGTCAGCGCGTCGTCAATTGGGGGAACCAGCGAGTGGACACATGAGCAGGAGGTTGTGGTTGGATGACGAAATTCGGGAGTTTGAATCGCCAAACCACAAACAAGTACGGAACAGTAAAGACTTCCCGCCAAAACCCCAGATCCAGCGAAGGCAAGCAGACAGCTTAATAGGGGAAATTCCTACACCATCAGGGTGATGGAGATTATCCAGCTGGCTGGCATTTCTAGTAGAAATTATTTAAAGATTTACTTTCTTACAAAAACGATGCATTGTAGGTTTGGGCTTAATACTTATATACCGTATTTATGATAAAAATGAAATTTATTCGGATGTTTATGTATACAGTTGTGCAGAAAAATACAGTACATCGCACATATAATATGTATGGGTTAAGTAGCATGATTCCTCCTCTTCCTATTAAATATAGCCAGGCTGTGTATTGTGGTGGATTATCTTCCCTTGTAGATGCACTCAGCAACGCAACATTCATAAAGCCGTCAAGATGGGCGCAAACTGGGCTTCGCCAACCAATCCGACTCACAGAGCCGCGTGAATTCGCGAGCCATGCACAAATGAACGGACGACTGCCGCAGCCTTTCGCACGCAACGCGGGACGTGATGTGACGTGACGTGAGCTGGCTGTGTGATTTCCATCCCATGAGAACCAACCGACGACGCCGTCGGTCGCGAATCACCACAAGCAACAACTCGACGGATATTTCTGTAGAAACACAAGATTATCATTTCTGGCAATGAAAAGAACCCTATGATTCCAGAGGACGAGCTGTTGCCACTGGCATGATTGAGTGTTTGGTGAGTGGGTAATACGATGTTTCGATGCAAAAGCTTATGTAAGCTACAAAGTTCTGGCGTCTCTGGGCAAACGTCATTGTAAACCCCATGAACCTCCAAGAATTTGTTCAGCCCAGAACAGTGCCTGCGAGTACTGCCGCCCATCCCCAAGCTTCCGAGAAAAGTGTTCTCGTGCCTGTCGTGTACCGCTTGAAGACAAGAGCGCCTCGTCCGCTTCCATTGCGTTGCGACCCGCAATTTGAAGAACAGTGCAACAAGTCGTGTTGCACCGACAACCGTAGTCAATCGCGGTGCGATTTGATGAGTACAGTATCATCGCGGTGCGGAGAAAAAATCCTCCTGCTCCATCGCACGCACCTCCTTTCCCCTTTCTCCTCTTCTCCTTCCATCGCGGCGACCAGGCCTGTCTTTCGTTTTCGGCCCCTCGGACAAATCAGGGGGCCCTGCATGTATGACCCTGTATTTAGCAGGGTTCGGGCGAATCTCGGCCCTTCAGGCTTCAGGGCTGGAAAATTTTCCTCCCTTGAATCAGTTTGGCGCGGAAAATTCTGGAGCCTCATTTCAACTACCAAGCTTACATCTACGTTTGAGATGAACCACAAGCAACACGACATAAGAGAATTAGTTAGCGTCATATCACTACGCACGCTTTGCAGACTTCACAGCCTTTGCAGAGCAGATGATTTTGTGCACTTCTACCCACTTCACAGGATAGTTCTTGTGCACACTACCCCTAGTCTACCCACTCCACAGAGAGGGAGCTGTGACTTGTTCAAGCACAAGTTTTAGTTTGAGTTGAATTTGTGGCCCAACCACGTAACTCGAAAATTGCCAGTTGGATGCAATCAGGTCAGAAACGAAGGGGAGAGGAGAGGGAGGAGTGTTGGGGGAGAGGGGAGGGGAGGAGAAGGGGAGCTCGAAATATTTTGTTCCAGGGCTCGCCCGAAATCTACCCTTGACACACCGGGCTGAGCCCGAAATCAGCCCTGTAAGGAATCAGGGCCAGAATATTTCCAGCCCATCAATTTCAGTTTCCAAGGGCAACTCGGCCCTGGAATTCAAGGTCCAGCAGGGCAAACGCCCTGCAAGCGACAGCCCTGGCGGCGACCAACACATGTACAAATTGCGGAATCCAGAGCATGTGTGGGCACACGCCACTCGTCTCCAGCCGCGTGGTTGCCGTACATTCCGCCACAAGGGTCCCGCTCACCTCTCCTTTCCTTAGTTTGTCGTGCCGCGATTTCGCGACCATCTCACGCAAACCAGCTCCCCATTTACCATGGCTGCTCGAGTCAACAGTGCATTTCTCAATTTCACTAAATCCTTCACTATCCGGAGCGCATGTCCCGTACTGGGCACCCTAATCCCGCTTCGCAGCGCTGGTGCCAATCCAAGCTTCAGCAGAGCTTTAGCCCAGTGTCAAAGTCATAGCGCTCCTTTTGGTCATTGCCGAATCGCTGCACACTTCAGGCTGCATGGATTTCCCTCTTCCCACGCGTTCCGAGTCCTGACCAGAGGCTTCTAAGGCACGCCATTTCCTGTCCCTGTCTCATACAATTAACCGCTGTGGATACAAGTACGAATCCCACATGCATCAGCCAGTACGGCTCACTCTTCCCTTCTACCTCCTCTCTCTCATAGGAAAGGAGAAACATTCGTAGGAACTTTCGTACTTTCGCTAGAGTATACGCTCCGCGACTAGTCGTACTAGCAGGCGCTCCCAGCATGAGTCGCCCCAACCTCTTCTGTCTCCTGCTGCTGCTCTTCCTGCTCCCGCTGGCATGGCAGCAAGGGGCGGAAGCCGGGTCTTACCCCATCAGCGGCGCCGCCTGCAATTACGCCAAGGGCAGGTCGGCGCAACATCTGTCATTATCTGTCGTTAAGCAACTAGGGCAGTTCGGGTTCAATGTGTTGGACAAGGTTTCTCGCTACCTGGGGGGTCAGTGTGTCCCGGTAATCGCCGTTCCGTCGCGGGTCCTCAAATCGCTCATTAGGAAGAAGTAAAACAGACGAACCGCTGTGTCTCAACATCTGAACCCCATCCTCATCATCTCTCGTATCTCTCATTCTCTGGCCCCTCCGCGCCCCAACCGCAATCACGTGGCCGTGGTCCCAACCCAATCCCCAGATGGATCGGTCGCCATACACCAAGCCCGCGTATACCGCGTACAGCTGCAAGAGCATTCGGAGAACCCTCGACTTTGAACCCTGTTCTTTATCGTAACGATTTTTCTCGATCCCCTCTCCGCCCCAACCCCAACCGCGTCACGTGCTCACCCCCAGGTGGATCCAGGTCGCCGCACACCAAGCCCCCGTATTCCGCGTACAGCTGCAAGAGCGAGGAGCATCCTTATCCTGAGCCCCGTTGTTAATCGTAGCGATTATTCCCGGACCCCTCTCCGCCCCAATCTTTAACCGCGTGCGCTCATTCCCCAGGTGGATCCGGTCGCCGTACACCAAGCCCCCGTATTCCGCGTACAGCTGCAAGAGCATTCGGTCGCAGGCCAACTGCTACAAGAACGGCCGCCGCGACTACAACTACCTCAACTGGCGCTGGCAGCCCGACGACTGCACTCTGCAGAGGTGACCCGCTGCGCATTTTCAATGCTGTTCGCTACTTGGAAGCCATTCAAAGCTTAGGTGTTCCGCCCCTCCGTGGCAATTCTAAGCCTTGGCCATGCGCCGCGATTGAACGACGGCTCACGAGAATGTATTGGGAATTTCCTGCTCGCCTACAGACTAGCCCCTCACCTCCTGCTCTTCCGTCGTGCGTGCTTGTCTTCGCTTTCTTGTTTTTCCGACCTTCTCATTGTTTTTCTGCTGCTGCTGCTGCTGCTGCTACTGCCGCTACTGCTGCGGCCTCTGCTTCTGCTGCAGGTTCGACTCGGCCAAGTTTCTGAGCCGGTACCGCAACAAGGTGATCGGAATGGCGGGCGACTCGTTCTCAGCCAACTTCGAGGACTCGCTGCAGTGCATCCTCTCTGCTAACACCTCCACCTCGGTGCGTCACTCGCGGGTGGGGTGGGGGAGGGTTGAGCCTCGAGGATCGGACCTCGAGGAATCAGAACACATGAGTTTTGAGTTTTGAGTCAACGCGAAACGACCGGTTCTCAGCCAAAGCTGAGGCCACGTTGCGGTGCATCCTCCAAACCTCTACGTCAGTGCGTCGCCCGTGCAGACCGCGTCGCTTACGAACAGCCGCGTCGCCCGTGCAGTACTTCATCTTCCGCGCAGAACCACGTCTTCCGCGCAGAGCCGACTTGAAGGCGTGTTGAGTTGAGGCGGCTCGACGTGTATGCACAGGAACGGTTTCTTCCTACCCTGGCCTCCCAATCGACCGTCTCGTTCCCGGTCATCGGTGCATACATCGTCGTAAGACCATAGGCCATGGCAGAGCGCACTTCATGCAAGGATCGTTCCTCATCCGTCCGAAAGAGCACTTCCCTCTTCCTCTCCTCATCCGTTCTTTCCTTCTCCGCCTTTTCGACTCCCCGCGTATGCAGCGCATGACGTCGAGCCTGGACACGGATGACGTGAGCGGGTTCGTTATAAACGAGTACAACGTCACTGTGCTGCACATCGCCGCGGCGTTTCTTGTCGACGCGTCCCCGGTTGTAAGCGCCACGCTCACACACGCTCAGACACGCTCACACACGCTCACACACGCTCACACACACACACCACTTTGCTGGATGTCGGGTTGACATGATCGTGTCGCCACTTATCACACTATCAACAACATCACCTTTCGCTCTCCATAGTAACGATTTCGTTCGCACTCTTTCGCCAACCCAGGGCAAGGCGTCGAGCAGCGGCGTGTGGAACATCAATCTCGACAAGCCGCACAGCAGCTGGGCCAAGATCCTGGATGACATCGATGTCTTCATCTTCAACGCAGGTCACTGGTTCGTCAATGTAAGCGCACCTAATTCTCCAGGCTTCCTCACTCTCCACGCTCTTCGAGACGTTTAATAGTCTCTCCCACTCTCTTCACTCTCTCCCAAGCTTTCCCACGCTCTCCTACGCTCTCTAGTCGGTCGTTAGTATAACTCCGTTTCCTACTCGATTTATTTCCTTCCCCAGTCTACAACCCCGATTCATGCTGCATCCCCAACCAACATCCTGGTAAGCTTCCGTGTAAGCCGTAAGCTTCCGTGTAAGCCGTAAGCTTGTGTGATGTCGTCATAGCCATTACTTGCCGTGTGAGCTCGTTCTCAGACCTACCGCCTTCTGTCTACTCCCGCTTCCTCTCCCGCTACCGCTCCCCTTCCCCGCGTCCGCGCGCGCCGCAGGCGCCTGACAACCTCCGCCAGTACTACATCGGCGGGGTGAAGCAGAGCGGGCTGACCGGCTTCTCCGCGATGAAAATCGCGCTCACGACGGTGCGCAACACGATCGTCAAGTCCAACTACCGCGGAATCCCCGTGCTGCTCACCTTCTCGCCGTTCCACTACAGCGACTCTTTCGATACGGGCAAGGACTGCGCGGGGTGGTGGCGCCCGATGACCCAGGATGAATTCCAGGTGGCGCTTGAGAAGAGCGAGGCGGCGGAAGCGGTGAAAGAGCAGCTGTCGGTGTTCACGAATAGTGGCGGAAGCGGCGTGACCGCGGTTGGGGGCAAGGGCGCGAAGGGGAGCGGAAGCGTAAGCGGGAGCGGAAGCAAAAGCGGAAGCGGAAGCGGGAGCGGAAGCGGAAAGAAGCCGACCACGAAGAGTGCGGCGGAGGGGCGGAGTGCAATGGAGATGGGGGATGAGGGTATGGGAGAAGAAGCGGAGGCGGAGTGGGGAGATGATGAGGTGACGGGTGGGGAGGTGGAAGCGGAGGCGGAGGCAGGGGCGGAGGCGGAGGCGGAGGCGGAGGCGGAGGCGGAGGCGGAGGCGGAGGCGGAGGCGGAAGAGGAGCGGAGGAGAATGCTCTGGGGCCTCCACGACCATAAGAAGAAAAAGGATTCCAAAAGCTCCTCCTCCAGCAAGGATTCCTCTTCGAGTTCATCCAAAGACAAAAAGAGCTCCTCGTCCTCTAAGAGCGATTCCTCTTCGAGTTCATCCAAGGACAAGAAGACTTCCTCCTCCAAGAGCGGTTCCTCTTCGAGTTCTTCCAAAGGCTCCTCTTCCTCCAAGAGCTCGGGTTTGAGCAGTGACAGTAAGAAAGCTGTCCAGAGCTCCGACTCGTCTTCCTCTAAGAGCTCCGACTCGTCTTCCTCTAAGAGCTCCGGCTCGTCTTCCTCTAAGAGCTCCGACTCCAAGAGTTCTGGCTCTAAGTCCTCCGGTTCTAAGAGCTCTGACTCTTCGAGTTCTGGCTCCAAGTCTTCCTCTTCAAGTAAATCCGGGTCGAGCAGCGACAGCAAGAAATCCACTCAGAGCTCCGACTCCAAAAGCTCCGACTCGAGCAAATCCTCCTCTTCAAGCAAGTCTAGTTCGGGCAGCGACAGCAAAAAAACTTCTTCCCAGAGCTCCTCCGACTCGAAATCCTCATCAAATTCTTATTCGTCCAAGTCAAAATCGTCCTCGAAAAGTGGCTCTGAATCCAAGGCCGCGAGCGACAGCGCGATGCCGAAAAAACCAGGGACTGTCGTTCAGTCATACGGAAACACCAACACGCAGTTCGGTAGTGTGAAGTTCAGCATCCTCGATATAACACTCCTCAGCCTTATTCGCCCCGATGCGCACATTCAGAAGTTTGGCGGAGAGGGGTCGAAGGTGGATTGCTCGCATTGGTGCACGCCTGGCCTTCCCGATACGTGGTCTGATATCCTGTACTCCATGCTTATGAACTAGCGAAGATCTGGTAAGTTTAGGGCGCCATGCATTCTAGTGCAAAAAAGTGTTTTCTAGGTACCGTAGTTGTTCTTGAAGGATGCTTGTGTGTTCTAGTGCCAAATTTTGTATTTGGAGAATAACGTGGTTTTACAGATACCAACTCTTTGCCTTCAGAATCATGAACTTCATATTTGCACGCCCATTTCCTATTTGCACAGCAGATCATGAATGTGGTCTCTCAGACTTTCACTCTAAATTATTCCTGTAGTGCCAAATCTGATGGCAGACCACAGAAGCTCTGATCTGACGGGGCATATGCTATGCATGTTGAATGTTGACATGGCGGTTGCAACATTCACCAAGCTTAGTTGTGCATTGAGGTTCAGCCTCCCATGCCATGCCTCTGCTGCACCTCCAGACGAAACCGTGTCCAGCTTGAAGGCTGCCGCTACTACAGTAGATACTCGCCTGGGGTGAACTAAAGGAACTGAAGTTTCAGGCGGTGAGATTGGTCAACCTTGAAGAATTTCTATGAATCAATTCCCAGTACAGAGACTTCTACCATCTAGTAATGCCCAAAGAAAGCAAATGGCATCCCATATTACAAGTGAAAGTTGCAAACTTTCCCTGTGATAAAGAATACGGTAATAGCAAAAAGAGCAGTGATCAACGGCTGGTACGGAAGTGGATACACGAAGGCAGTGGGTGACACACACAACCCGCAGTGGTGTGCGCGGGGCATGGGGCAAGCGAGGGCTTGTTGTAACGCAGCGGGTACACAATCAGCACGCGCAATCAGCATGCGCAGCTGCCACTGGGGTCGGTGACAGGGTTGGACTCTGCTTGCAAGTTGCGCAGCACTTTGGTGGCGTGTGTGTTGTGGGCCACGAGGGAGGGCGTCTCTATGATCTGCTCAGAGAGAAACATACAGCGGAAGTGAGAGGTGAAAATGGGTGAGGGAAAGGAAGGGTGTGTTCTGGGACATCTCAAAGCTCAGAGTGTGTGCTGTGGGCTACCAGGGAGGGCGTCTCTATGACCTGCTCAGAGATACAAGGGAAGTGGACGAAGGGAGCGGGGTGAAGGAGGTGGGTGGAGTGGACGGAGGGGGTAAGGAGACTCGGGTGAGGATGAGGTGGGGTGGCCGACAGAGATAAGTGTGTATGCATGCTAGTGCTCATGTTTGCACGTGTGTGGTGAGGGTGGGGGGAGAGGGGGGTAGATCCACAGCATGATCCACAGCAGGGCATTGAAAAGGCAAAGGGTCTATGGACGGAACAGAAGTAAGGCAGGACACATAACAGTGTGCGTTTACTATCCGCACTGGGTACCTTATGTTCTGTGCCATTCATCTTCTGCACAGCTCACCTCACCTTCTGTAAGGCCCTTACCCTAATGCACAGCTCACCTTCTGTACTAGTTCGGAGAAGCACTGTTGCACGTTGAGACGTGTCTTGGCGGAGCACTCGAGAAAGAGCGAGCCGTACTGTCGTGCGAACGCTATGCCCTCCTCCTTCGCCACTTGCCGCTCCGACTCCTGCCACGTGAGAGAGAGAGGACGGTGCATGGGTAGGGACGAGTGGGGCGGCCAAGGCGGCAAGGAAGGAGAGGGAGACCGGGCAAGGGTGGAAGAGGGAAGGTGGGGTGGGGTGGGGGGAGTGCGGTGGAAGGAAGAAGGGGGGGCAGAGGAGGGGGAGGGGAGAGAGGAGTGTGGTGGGGTGGGGAGGAGGTGAGAGGAGCACAGCTTGGGAGAAATTAGGACTTGCAGGTAGGCTATGGGTGTCAAATCATGCACATGATCACGATGGTGGTCACGAATGCGCCAGCCAGAACTACAAACACGCTGGAAGTGAGGCGGAAGGAGCGCGAAATAATATGCAAGACTCAATGTAGCATGCGCGCGAGGTGTGCGAGGGAGGGGGGAAGGGGGAGAGGGAAGGGGGGAGAGAGGAGGAGGGAGTGGGGTGGGATGAAAGGGGAAAGCGGAAGGGGACGGGGGGGGGGTGGGGGGGGGGGGGGGTGGGAGATTGGGGGAGGCGGAGGGTGGAAGGAAAGGGGAAGGAAGGGGGACGAGGAGCATGAGCATACCTTATCGACCTTGTTGCCGACGAGCATGAGCACGCAGTCCGAGACGGTGGAGTACATGTCGATCTCCTTCAGCCACACGTCCGACAGATTCGTGAACGTGTCTCGCCGCGTCACGTCGTACACTGAACGGACACGGACAGGGACAGGCACAGGAACAGGAACAGGAAGGACAGGCGTGGCGCGCGGATGCGTGCATGCGGGGAGGAGTGCATGCGGGGATGAAAGAACGCGGACATGCAGGGACAGAGATACGGAGGGAGGAAAGGGGTGATGCACACGATGAGCGAAGGGGAGCGAGGAGGGGGAGGGAGGGGAAAGGTGGCGTCAGGAGGAAAGGGATGGCTGGAAAAAGTGGAAGTGGCAAAAAACGGTGCGTCCACGCAACAGCGGAACGCAACCATAAAAACGCGATCAGATATGCCCTTATCCTACAATTGCAGGAGTGCAACTAAGCCTATCGTACTCATCACAATGCCACTACCACTGCCGCCCGCAATTTCCCTACATTCCAGAGTCATTCATTTGACTGCACAACACATTTGCCTGCGGCATTGGTGCTCACCAGTTGCTAAAATGCCACGAAAAAAACAAATGCAATAACCTGGTCCAAAAAGCTATCTCAAACTCACCCAGGATAATCCCCTGCGCTCCACGGTAGTACGAGCTTGTGAGCGTACGGAATCGCTCCTGACCGGCTGATGGCCAGAGGGTGGAGCAAAACAGGGTGAGTGAAGGAAAGCTTGAGAAGCGAACAAGGACGACCGGAGTGCGCATAAGCCGAGTTACGTTCGCACAGGCGTGCAGGTGTGTAACGTCCGATGCAAAAGAAAGAAACGAAGCACCAATGGTGAAAATATTAGGTGGCATAATCAACAGGTAAATTGGTCATCCTCGTCGTATCTCGCCATTCACCTGTGTCCCATATTGTTAGCTTGATCCGCTTGCCGTTGACGGTCACTGATTTGAGTTTGAAGTCCACACCTGAAAAAGCGAGCACGGTACGAAATGGGAGGAGGGGAAATTACCCGTCATGAAGCACGGAACAGGCTATGCGAGGACCAGGGGGGTGCATCTGGCGACATTGGAGCCACGACTTTCATACAAAAAAGAGCATGGAAGGCGACCTGCTGATGACATTGTGGTCTTCCTACGGTTGACATCAAGTAAAGGCAAATTAGGAAAGATCGACAAGGTCAACTATACGTGAAAAGCTGTTACTGACGCGGAAACGAACAGCTGACGATACTATGGTTAGCAATGGCACAGAAAACAAGAACTGCGGAACAGTCTGGCCGATTGAAAAATACAATTCAAATCGTAGCGGCGCCATGACTATGATAGGATAGGCGCCCGTCTGTAGCAATCAACTTCAGCTTTTGGAGTGGTGAGGTGACAAATAGTAAGTACCGATGGTTGGCGAAAGATCGTCGAAAGTGTCGGTGGTGAATCTTAAAAGCAAGCAACTCTTGCCTACGCCTGAATCACCCACGAGCAGCAGCTTAAACAGGTGATCATGCTCGCTGTGTGGCGGGGGTCCCACGCTACCGTCCGTTGCCATGCTTACTACTACGTACAACAACCCGAGTCTGCTGTGTTGATGTTTTCTTATTTATATTGGTTTACGCGCGGCAAACTCGAGAGGTGGACCGCGGAAACCGGTGATTGCTTGAAGGTAAGGTGTAGTAGTCTCCTAGGGAAGACCTAGACTCTAGCAGGAAATTTACTAATTTGTGCTGTGATGATGGATCAGGGGCAACAAATGTGTGTTCTAGAGCCAGGAGGGGCAACGGGAGTGGAGGGGAGGAACAACGGGAGGGAAGAAGGGCGAAAGGAGGGGTGAGAAGGGGAGTGGGGCGGAGAGGAGGTGGGGAGCGGGGCGGAGAGGTTGGGCAAAGGGGGAGTATGCGTGCGCAGGTTGAGGTGATGGGCGGACGGCAGGAAGAGTTGAGGTGTTTGGGAGAGGAGGGGGGGGGGGGTGCGCGGGGTGATCGTTCCGGGGAGATTGGCGGTGTAGTGGCGATGACGAGGGGAAGGTAGAGTGTGATGGGGGCGCAAGGCACCTGAAAGGTGGGGGGAAATGCCAAATGTGACTATAGTAAATCGTTTATGCTTTTGTGTCGTTGTGGAGTTTCAGGGTGTTAGTTTGGTAACTGTGAGGCAATGGAGTGGAGACTTTAGAAAAGGAGCGAACGCACTTGTACCGAGTCACGGCCATCTGGTTTATTCCAGAAGAAATTTTCTTGGCTGACACAAGCCAACCATACCCTGCCAGCAAGATGCCGCTCGCCACGGCCCGAACGTCAGAACATAATTGGCTGGAACTGGCTCGGCAACTTCAAATGACGAATCGACGGCGCCCCGCGTTGTCGGGCTGTCTTGGATTCGATATTGCCCGCCACGGAGGCCTCCTAACCAGGAAGCAGCTTTCGTTTGTGGCACACCCTGGAGCACACAGGAAAACAGAACCTGGCTCGTCAGGAATCTGGATGGGAGTGCTCACCAACCAAGTTGCTTTTTGGCAGAAAGGTTCTTCAAGGAGCTTTTGCATGCATCCAGCAACTACGGTAGGTATTTTATGACAGCTACGTCACAGTTCATGTAGGTGGCTGAGCTGACTCGTCTTCCTCATGGGCTCTGTGCTAGTATCCGTGATCGTCGTCGTCGCCGCCATCGGCGTGGGGTGGTGCACCATCGAGGTGACATGCCGGCCGTGCCTCTCCTATGTTCGAGCTAAGATGCGCGAGGAGCAGGAGGCATTGCTTCAGGATCATCAAACAGAATCCTAAGCCTCGAACCCGCGTTTAGCTTTGAGCCTCTGGCGACACCATCTTCCCTAGATCCTCCGCTTCGCCTTTCTCAAGATCATCCTTCCTTATTCGGCTCCTGCCTTCGCGTTGGGGACTCATCCCTTCCATGTTCCATCACACTCCAGTTTCAATCTCCCGTTGGAACTAGACCGTTCAGACTGTTCCACAACCCCGCGTTACTCGTTTGTGTCTCTTCTTACAGCTTTACCCGTCTCAGGCTTGTGGTGGTCTAATCTCTGGCGACTTTCGTGATAAGCCTGTGGGAACCAGGCACACCGTGCTGCACCGCGTCCATTCTTTTCCCATCTGCGTGCATCCCTCTAAAGTATCAGTCCGACAGGCAGACGGCCTCAGATCCCTTGTTCTCTAGGCGATTAGCAGTGGAAATAAAAAGGGGAAGATATGAGGTGGCTTGCACAATAGCAGACATGTGGTGGAACACGGCATTGCAACCATGACAGTGCTCTGGAGGGACAGCATTGAGAGGATTGTTGTAAGGACGTTAAATGATTGTAACTTAGCATTGCCAGGCATTGTAGAAAGCACCCAGTTCAGGCAATAATGTCCCTCTCACCGCCATCATGTTCTTGCGTTATTGCACTCCTTGGAGCTTTAAAATGTTTTTATCAATAAAACGATATTACCACCTATTAGTTACTGAATGACCTACAAAGAGTTCAGGTCAGTCATTTGACTTGACACTGCTCTCGTATCATACTCAACTTGCATCAAGAACTTGAATCAGGCACACTGGTGGTGCACCTCATTCATCCTCTTCACAGCCTCGCACAGCCCACCACAGCGCCAGTCAGACACTGCCACACACCCCTTGTTCTCCTCTCTCCTCCGCCCACAGTCCTCTGCACAACCCACCCCAAAGGAGAGGCGGATGGGGGAAGGAAGAGAAAGGGGTTAGGGCCAGGATGGTTTGTCGGGTATGCATGCTAGATGATAAACATAGTAGTGTATTTACATAAAACTGCAACTGGTTGCTCTCCAGCAAACAGCACGAGGAGAGTGATACTGAGGAGAAAATGTGTGGGTGCATGGATCCAAGTGGAGAAAGAGAAAAGGAGACAAAACGAGCAGCTATAATGGGAGAGGGGCATTGTTAACCTTCGGGGGGGCTGGCACAGCAGAGGCGGTGGTCGTTGTGGTGAGTGGCAGTGAGACCCAGCATCCACGATCCTACCGATATGTCCTCGTTCGCATACTCATGCAGCAGTGGCCTGCCATGGGGGGGTGAGGGCATGGGGGGGACGAATGAGGCAACAGTGGAGTGAAGCCATGGTACAGGAAGGGGGGTGGGGGGGGGGGGAGAGGCATGAGGAGAGCAGAAAAAAATGGAGGAGGAGGGGAAAGAAGCTGGGTGCGAGAGCAGGGATATGCTAAAGGAAAATAGACATGAACTTGAAGGATATTTGGGATGGGATGGAAAACAGCTTCAGACAAATGGAGTAGGATAATTTGAGGGAGGGAAAAAGAGAGGTTCGACAGCAGCGAGAGGAAGATAGCAGCGGGATGGGGGAGAGAGTGAGGGTGTGTGAATGCAAGTGGGGAGGCCAGTCTGTGCAGATGTGTAGCGGGCATGAAGGGGCAAGGCTGACCCGTTGAAGGCCAGGAAAAGGGCAAGGTCACGCGAGAGTCCATAGACTGGTGCTGCTGCATGCTGGAAGTACCTGCAGGGGGACAGACGGTGCAGGGCAAAGGCAGACGCACTATGTTATTCAAGGATAAGGACAATAAGATCACAAATGAGGAGATGAGCAGCTAGCAAAGCACGCAAAGGAAAGGCAACGGGCCATGCAAAGAAAGGAAGTTTCAAATTTCGGGCCCAACATTAAGAGCTCTCAAACATCAACCCTGGATTCATTGGGGTTAAGGGACAGTGTTGGTTACTGAGAGAGAGGATGTGCTTAAGCAGTCAGAGAAAAATATTATGTGGAGGTGCGAATAAAACGGTGAATGGAGTAGGAAACAGTGTGAGGCACTTGAGAGCACAAGGCATAGGTGATCGCAGGAGTGGGTGGATGGAGGGAGGGATGAGAGGATGGGTGGATAGATGTGCGGGTGGGTGGGGCGCGATCTTAGCTGTTTGCCGTCGCCAAACCGTGCCCACTCTGGCTCAAACCACTGCTGATTGCTGTTAGTAGGTGAGGGAGGGAGGGGAGAAGGGGGGAAAGGGAGAAAAGGGAGTGGCAGGATCAGGGGGAGTGGAAGTGGGAGGGAATGGGGAGCTGAATGGGGAGGGGAAGGGATGAAAAGAGGGGGGATGGGGAGGAGGAGGGAGGTGTACAATGAGGTGGGTGCTCTGACACGAACCGAACAAGTACAATCCAGTTCAATCGAATTCGATCCACATTCAATTTGAGTCCTATAACACTGCGGAACGAACCACGTATCTGTCATGGCCCACTCCCCATTCTCCTGTGGCCCGCTCCCTCACTCTTATCCTCCTCTGCAACCTCTTCCCTTCCCCGCTCCCCATCCCTGCTCCCACTCACGGCTCTGTAACCACGACACCAGACTTGAAGCACCCCATATAGAGCCCTGAACGGTCCTTGAGTCGCTGTAGGAACGACACCAGCTGCACTGCACTCGGGGGGAGAGAGCAGGGTGCGTGGGGGGAAAAGAAGAGAGAGGAGAGAAGAGGAAAGGAGATTGGGAGAGCCGCATTACATGTAGAGATCTGGATGGTCCTTGAGACGCTGTAGGAATGACACCAGCTGCACTGCACTCGTGGGCGAGGGTGGGGGGTGGGGGGAAGTTTGCGCAAGGTTGAGTTTGGGTAAGGTCCAAGACTGGGGGAGGATCAGGGTGGGTGGGGTTAGCACGGTTGATGGGGCAAGACGGGGTGAGCGGGGTTGATGGGGGTAAAAGAAACGGGAAGGATATACGATGCTGGCTGGAAAAACGACACATGACACTGGTAATGGGGTGAGTGGGGCTGATGGGGTTATTAGAGAACGGAAGGATAAATGATGCTGGTTGTGCACGGGTACTCACTGGTGCTGAGAAAGACGTCGTCATAGACCTTGAAGAAGAAATCCGCATCCCAGTGCCTCACAGCGAGGTCTCAAAACGACTCAAAAAGCCTGAAAACATCTCGAAACGGCTCAGGTGGGTACTCACTGGTGCTGAGATAGACGTCGTCGTTGACCTTGAAGTAGAAATCCGCGTCCCAGTGCCTCACAGCGTACTCAAACAGGTGCTTCACCTTGCGCCCACCACTCTTCTCCACCTCCTCGTACTCATCCTGCTCACACACACAACCACATTACCGCCCACCATCCCACCCACCCACCCACCCAAACGCCAATTCAACAACACGCAAACCCGCGCCCCGTGGCTCATTGTTACAATGTTACACGACACACAAGCAGAGTTGACAGCTCCCACACACCATTCATCCGCTATCACACATAATTGCTCTGCATCGCAGAGAGAAACAGACTCACACATAATAGCTCCGCCTGGCACCCTGCCACCCACTCACCATGACCACAATGTCGTTGTACTTGTCTCTCTCTCCTCCAGCATTGCTTGTAGTGAGTCTATTTTTGAGGCGACGCAAAGTAGACCCACTAACCACCCTGCCACTACCCACCATGACCACAATATCGTTGTACTTGTCTCTCTCCTCCAGCATTGCTTGTAGTGAGTCTATTTTTGAGGCGACGCAAAGTAGACCCACTAACCACCCTGCCACTACCCACCATGACCACAATATCGTTGTACTTGTCTCTCTCCTCCAGCATTGCTTGTAGTGAGTCTATTTTTGAGGCGACGCAAAGTAGACCCACTAACCACCCTGCCACTACCCACCATGACCACAATATCGTTGTACTTGTCTCTCTCCTCCAGCATTGCTTGTAGTGAGTCTATTTTTGAGGCGACGCAAAGTAGACCCACTAACCACCCTGCCACTACCCACCATGACCACAATATCGTTGTACTTGTCTCTCTCCTCCAGCATTGCTTGTAGTGAGTCTATTTTTGAGGCGACGCAAAGTAGACCCACTAACCACCCTGCCACTACCCACCATGACCACAATATCGTTGTACTTGTCTCTCTCCTCCAGCATTGCTTGTAGTGAGTCTATTTTTGAGGCGACGCAAAGTAGACCCACTAACCACCCTGCCACTACCCACCATGACCACAATATCGTTGTACTTGTCTCTCTCCTCCAGCATCGCTCGGTCTAGAGAGTCACCGCGGTTCAAACTGCAACAAGCAACGGTTGGGGGAGTTAGGGGGAGTTGAGGAGAGTTGGGAAGATTTCCCAAGCTCCCTGTGCCTGGCACCCCAAACCTGACGCACAGCTTGGCACCGAACCACACCGCACCGCACAACACAGCACTGTACGGCAGAGTACTGCACAGCAGAGCACCGCATAGCAGGGCAGCACACAGCAGAGCGCAGCACAGGCAATCAGAGAAAGGTACAGCAGAGAGAAGGGCAGAACGCACGTACCTGTGGCCCACTGCAAAGCGCAGCACCACGCCCATCTCATCCTGAAGCTTCTTCAGAGCCGCGCCTGGTGGGGGGGAGAACGTGGGAGAATGTGTGGGTGGACAGGGAAGGAAGGAGGACGAGGAGCGCGGGAGGGAGAAGGGTAAGCAGCAGAGTAGTAATTAGAAGTGCCAGCAGCACCACGCCCATCACATCCTGCAGCTCCTTCAGAGCCTCGCCTAGTGCCGTGGTAGGGAGAGCAGGGAGGGTGGGGAGAGCGGGAAGGATGGGGAGGGTGGGAAGGGTGGGAAGGATGAGGAGGGGGGAGAGGGCAAAGGGCAACGAAGAACTGGGGGGCGAAGGGAGAGGAGTCAGCGGAAGGTGAGAGGAGACGAGGAGATGAAGGGACCAGGGGCAAGAAGCAGGGTATCAAGCGAAAGTGCCAACAGCCACCTGAGCACCGAGCAGTATACGTGCAGAATCATCCTTCCCCTCCCCCTTTTTCTCTCTCCTGTCCTCCTTCCCCATCTCCCTTCTCCCCCATCCCCCTTCCCCGTTCCTTCCCCTCCACTCCCCCCCTCTCTCTCCCCCCACCCATGCACTCACCAGTGGGCATCCAAGTGCTACGAATTGCCTCGCGTCTCAGCCTGTTCCCAAACGCAGTGCTCACCAGCACCGCCACCAGCAACCGCTCCCTCCCCCCCGCTCCACTCCCCCTCGCTCCTGCTCTCGCCCCGCCTCCCCCACCCCCTGCCGCCCCTTCTCCCCCTGCCACCGCCCCTGCATGTCCCCCTGCGTCCATTGATCCGCTTCCGGAGGTGTCTGGGGTGGCAGATCCGACGGCTGAGATGAAGCCACGTGTCTTGGCCTCCGCCATCTGGACCTGGAGCATGGCGTGGCGCTTCTCCAGTTCCCTGTGTACACGTGGCATGGGGGACGGCCGGGGGGGATGGGGTGGAGGGAGAGGCAAGAGGGAGAATGCATGGGAGACGGCCAGGGGAAATGGGGTGGAGGGGGAGGCAAGAGGGGGAATGCACAGGAGAGGTGGGGAAATGTAAGCGGAAAGATGGAAGGGGGGAAAGTGTGGGACGGTGGGGAGACATAAAGGGGAAAGCCGAAAAGGGAAAGGGCGGAGAGGGGGATGGGAAGAGACGGTGGAGGGGAGGCAACAGGGGGAGAGTGACATAAAAAGGAAGGGGAGAGACAAAGGCAAGGAAAGATTGGCTCATAGGCAACAGCAAGAGCAAAGAGAGAAGGTAAGAGCGGGTGGGTAAGAACCCTCTCAGTTGAAGGGTTCCCCTGGTGAGAACCCTAGTGGGATAAGATAGCAGTCAGTCATACACACAACGTTCATTGCGTTGCGAGGTGGATACCTGAGCTTGAGTGTGAGAATGCTGTCCTCGACTGAGAGGGGCTTGGCGCTCTTGTCCTGCACGCCTCAACACAGGCACAGACAGGCACGCACCGGCAGGAAGAGGCAGGCACAGACACGCACACACACACCAGCATGAGTGAACAAGTGGGCTTATGTCGAGACTTTTGTCAGAAGAAAACTTTTGGGCAGCCTTTCGGCACTCTCTGCGGGCAGAGCAGGAGTATGATTGGAGTAGAAACGATAGGTAGGCAGACGGGCAGACAGATAGACGGACAGGCAGAGGGACGGAAAGGGGGAGAGACCGTGGGACATCAACAGACAGACAGGCAGGCAGGCAAGCAGGCAGGCAGGCAGGCAGGCAGGCAGGCAGGCAGGCAGGCAGGCAGGCAGGCAGGCAGGCAGGCAGGCAGGCAGGCAGGCAGGCAGGCAGGCAGGCAGGCAGGCAGGCAGGCAGGCAGGCAGGCAGGCAGGCAGGCAGGCAGGCAGGCAGGCAGGCAGGCAGGCAGGCAGGCAGGCAGGCAGGCAGGCAGGCAGGCGGGCGGGCGGGCAGGCAGGCAGACAGACAGGGAGAGGGCAACGAGCAGCGACATCAGGGAAAGAATCCCATGCGAGGGGCTCACTTGTTTCGACTGGCCTCCAGCTGCCATGCCTTTTGCCTCCTGCAGCAGCTTCTTCTGCACCTGCACGTCTCGCCATAGCCTGCGCGCCGACAATAGCACAGTACCATCACATGGTAACACGTACAGTACGAAACTTGTAACAGCTCGTACACGCAATAGGCAATTTCAGCAAACACTCTAACGCTAACGCCATAGTAGGCAATTCTACAAGCGATTGCAATAAGACGTTTCCGTATCTTCAGACCAATTTTCTATCAGCCCACCCTGTGCTATCCAGCATTGGTTTTGGCTTGACTTCAGAAGCGAGACACTGTCACCATCCACACTCCGCAAATGATCGGCGTCACAAGGCGTTTCAATGCGCTGCGGGAACGCACCTTCCGCCGGTGTAGAGCGTGGCGAGGTAGATTATGGCGAGGTGGAGCGCGGCGAGGCAGCTTCTGAGTCGACTGAAAACTCACCTCTGCTGCTAGAGGCGCGGCGGAACGCACCTTCCGCCGGTGTAGAGCGTGGCGAGGCAGCTCATGAGCACGAGCACGGCGCCTGACAGCCGACCATTGCTCGCGGGACGAGGCCGACCCCGCGATCCCACCGCCATGGCCCGTGCGCCGGGGAGAGTGAGTATGACGGTGACGACGACGGTGACGGTGACGGTAACGGTGACGGAGACGGTGAGGGTTATGATCCGGCAGCCTGAATCAAGGGAGCAGTGATGAATTTCCGTGGTGCCTACCCCCCGCAAGGAGGATACGGAGATTACGGGGATATGCGAGTCTTGACAGAGAACGAGACGAGGGCCGTTGCCTGTGCACAGTAATCTAAACGCAAATGAATCGAAAGCTACAGCAAAAGCGAGCTACAGGTAACGAACGAGGGACAGGCGGGATACGCGTCTGGATGCTCCAGTGGCCTACTGTCTGGAATCTAATACCAAGGTCGGATATGGCAACACTGCTGTGGTACTCAGGTAATTTGAATCTGACTCTCAGTGCCAACATCGCACTCGCGCACTAGAACCACAAATAGTTTCGAACAATCAACCAGGAAGACCTGACATACGAACGAGGCGAGGCATCAGGCCTGACTTCAACCGGTGACTAGCTAGAGGATCTCCAAAAAGACGATCATACCATCCTCATGATCTGTCCAATCGGAATTCCCAAGGTACTAAAAGCATTTTCGAATCTGGGTTTGAGGCATGCGTTCAGCTGAAGCCACCCGAGAGAGACGTTGCCATGGGAACGGCTGCAGAGATCCACGAAGTTTTGCGGTCGCAGAGTAGCTTTCGCGAAGGTTAACGGTTTCGCCTAGGATTCTGATTGGTCTCGGCTGCTTAGCTGTAGCCAGGTGAACCAGACTTTCGCACGAGGATTGAATGTGTAGAAAAATCTTATAAAAAACAACTAAATGCTTTTTTTGCATTCCAGAGTTAGCATCAGTGAATTTAGAGACCTATTAAATCTAGTAAACCACGATACTTTGTGCTGCCATCAGAAGTTGATCGTGGCCTAGGATCTACTCAGGAAGGTTCGCACGCAGTAAGGTAGTGTTGGTGGGCCCTTGACCTCAATAGTAGAGTAAATGTAAAATGCTTGAGATGAATAAAACATGCAAACAAGGTGATATAAATAAGAGTACAATGGAATACGAAAAGACCTAACTAGCCATGTACTCTAAGGGGTACATTCCCTTATTCAAATGCATTCCCAACCGTGCGGCGCGTACAGTTTCGTAACTGTTCCCGCCAAAACCACCTTGCCTGCAGCTGCCCGATGCCGTCTGCTCCGACGGTCCAGATGCGTCCCAACTGTCTGACGCTTCGAGTCAATTCCAACCGTCTGACGCTTCGCGTTCATTCTCGTTACTGCGTGCTTCTCTTTGCTGCGGTGAGGAGTGCACAGTAATATCAAATGTTACTATTCGTAACACCCCCCTTCACTCATTGCCCTTGTCCACCTCATCCTTCACAAAGAAATACCGCAGCGCAATGTGCTTGGTGCAGTTGACGAAACCAGGTTTGTTCGCGATACGGATCGCGCTCTGGTTGTCGCAGTGAAGGCGGAAGGTCGGCGAAGTCGGAATTTTCGCTTCTTGCAGGAGTTCCTGCAGGTAGAGGCCTTCGCGAACTGCTGCGGTTGCTGCGATGAATTCCGCTTCGGCTGATGACAGGGCAACCAACTCCTGCTTCTGCGAATTCCAGGAGATTGGTCCCGATGGCTCGAGTCGGAACAGGAAGCCGGTCCTGGACCGTCGATTATCAGGGTCTGCTGCGTGATCGGCGTCCACGTAGCCTACGAGGTTGAAGGATGGAGTTGGTGCAGTTGAGTAGCACAGCCCAATCTTGGGCGTTGAGACGAAGAATTGAAGAGCGCGCTGCAGGTCCAGATGATTCTCAGCCGTTGGTTTGCGTGAGTACTGCGCCAGCTGACTAGCGATGTACGAGAGGTCTGGCCTGCAGGTGACAGAGGCGAAGAGAAGGCATCCCAACTGCTGCTGGTAAGTCTGAATCCCAGCAGGGGATAGGGCTTTGTTGTCAGGTTTGTGGTTCGGTCCGGGGGTTCGGTAGGGAGTTGAGAGAGGTGCAGGTGAAATGTTGAACCGTTTCCCCAGCTCCTCTGCGTACTTAGCCGCTGAGAGATGAATGGCCTCAGGGGCGTAGGAGATGTTGAGGCCTAGGAACTGCTTCACCTCGTAGTTGCACGTAATGTCGACGCGCCCCGCCAAGGCCTTCTCGAACTGCTCGAGAAGCTCGTTGTTCGAGCCTGCGTAAAGCAGGTCGTCGACGTACACCGTGAGGAGAATGTATTCGCCGCGGAAGTCGCGGCGGTACATCCCTGGGTCGTGCGGCATCTGCTTGAACCCGATTTCAAGCAGGATGTTGTGCAAGTACTGCTGCCACAGCCTCGGTGCCTGTTTGATGCCGTAGAGCGACTTGAGCAGCTGACACACACGCGAATCCCCTTCGCCGTAGGTGTGTGGCTGCTCCACGTAGATCACGGCGTCTACTAACGCGTACAGGAACGCGTTCTTCACGTCGATTTGACGGAGTGGCAGGTGCCTTGCAGCTGCGATGGCGAGCAGGATGCGGACGGAGGTGTGGCGGCTGACTGGGGCAAATGTCTGGTCGAAGTCGATCCCATGCCTCTGGTCATAGCCGCGAACCACCCAGCGCGCCTTGAAGCGCTCGATCGTTCCATCCGCCGCGGTCTTCACGCGGAAGACCCACTTCCCCGAGAGGATCCTTGCGCCCTTGATTGCTGCGCGGTCGACGAGCACCCAGGTGTCGCGTGACTCTAGTGCCTTGATTTCCGCGTCCATCGCCTCGCGCCACTCCTTGCTGTGTGGTCCAGAAAGAGCTTCCCGCGGGTTTCGGGGCTCGATGATGCGCGGCGCCTTCGAGGTTGCGGCGTGAAGGCCGAGTAGCTGAAGTCCTGAGACGGTGCTTTCGTGGCGACGTTGCGGGATGACCTCCTGAACATCGTCGTCGTCGCTTTCAGGTTCGGGTGGTGCTGGTGGTGCTGCGCCTCCGCCGCTTCCGCCTGCTCCGCCAATTCCTCCTCCCGAGGAATCGTCGTCGTCGTCGTCGCTGCTGCGCCGATCCTCCCATGCGAATTCCCCCCTTGTGTCCTGCTCCAAGATTGCTGCAGCGGCTTCGTCTTCAGGCGTTGCGTAGCTGTGGCCATTGTTGGCGTAGACGCGATTCGCGTTCGTTTCCTCGTCGCGGCGGAACTGGTCGAGGAAGAGACGCTCGTAGAAGATTACGTCGCGAGCATGGGCGGTATTCTGGTTGAGGAGATCTAGGATGATCCACGCCTTGTATTCGTGACTGATGCCGAGGTGAATTCCCCAGCGCGCGCGGCTGGCAAATTTGCCGATGGTTGAGGTTGCCGGACGATACTGCACCATGCACCCCCATATGCGGAGCATGGAGGTGTCCCCCTTGGTTCCTGTCCACTTGACGTGCGGGGACAGGTTGCCGGTAATTGCGGTGGTTGAAAGGAGGTTGTGCACCCGTACGGCGTGGTGCATCGCGTAGGTCCAGTAGATCGGCGGCAGCTTTGACTGCTTCATCAGCGCGCGCACCTTCGTCATCAGCGTGCGGTTTGTCCGCTCAGCTACGCCCTGCTGCTGGTGCGCGTAGGGAAGGGAGATGTGGTGCTCGATCCCCTTTTGCGTCAGGAATGTCTGCATCTGGTTGCTCCTGAATTCTGCTGCGCCGTCGGACTGCCAAATCTTGAGCTTCTTCCCAGATTGCCGCTCCGCGTGCGGCAGCCAGAGGCGAAATACCTCGTAGGCTCTGTCGCGCGACTCCACATTCACGACCCACACGTAGCGCGTTCCAGCGTCGATGAAGGTGAGTGTGTATAGCTCATCCTCGACTCCGCAATGCCCCACGTTCAGGAAATCGCTGTACACCTTGTGCAGCTTGGGGTAGCGGTTGGTTCCAGGTTCGAGCAGCGGGAACGGTTGGTGGCTCAGCGCAGCTTCGGGGCAGATGGTGCAGTTGCGCGGATGTGTCGCGCCGCTCACTTCGGAGCCATCAGGGCGCAGGAGTGCGCCAGGAGCGAAGACGCCTGCGTCGATGCAGTTTTTCAGCGTCGCGCGGGAAGGATGTCCGAGGCGCTGGTGCCAGAGTGCATCGTCAGCGCGAAAGCCGGAGGTGCGCATATAGCGCGCGCGCGCTTCCTCAGGGTCTTCGTCAGGTGCGGGAGCAGGTTCCGCTGCTACTTCCTCTGCTTCTTCTTCTTCTGCCGCGGTAGTCAGCATCAGTGCCAAGAACTCTCTGTCGCGAATTTCAGAGAGCGGGATGTTGGTCCCAGGGATGGTTCCAGGGACGAGAGTAGGCTCGCGTGGCTCAGGGGCAGGTCCGTAGACGGTGCGACGCGGGGTTGACGGCTCGTTGCCCCAGATGATGGTGTCCCACGCGGGGGAATATCTGCAGGGGGTGGTGCGAGCGGGATGTGGCGCGGGGGACGACCGAGAGGAACGACTGCAGGTGCTGCTTCGGTTTCCTCTCTTCGTTCTTTGCGGGAAGTGCCCCAGCCGCTGTCTGCGGCGGTAGGTACGGCGCCCCATCCGCCGCTCGCGTTGGCCCAGGTTCCGCCGGTGTCGCCCCATCCGCCAGTATCACTGGTTCCCCATCCTCCAGCGCTTCCCCACCCCCCTTCATTGGAGGCACTTTCTTCCTCCTCGGCTCCCCAGGCGACGCAAGCGAAGGTCCCGCGGGCTTCCGCGAGGCTTTGCTGGCGAAGCTCCTCGGCTTCGCGGCGCGCCAGTTCTTCCTCTTGCTCCACAGTGAGCTTCACCGATAGGTCGAGCCGATGAGGGTACACCTTTCGGAATTCCTCGAGAGTGTAGGGGCACGGAACTCCTCGTGAGTCCAAGCTTCCGCGGCGTTGTCCGCGCAGGATATTGTCGAGCCGCTGGGAGGGAGGTCCAGCGTGGGGGCTTTGGTCGGTGCCGAATACGCGACGAGTCGTCTCCTCGACCTCGAGCTGCGACATCCCTTCTTCTGGTGGCGCGTGGCGCTCTGCTTCAGCGATGGCGGCGAGTCCGCGGCCCGCAATCGCGCTTGTGGAAGTCGTCGGCGTGTGACAATCCCAGCATATGCCGTCGGGCTCGGGGTTGTGTAACGCCGTTTCACGTGGGTGAGGATGATGCGGCACCCACGGTCTGCCGTCAGGGTGCTTCCAATCCCTGCGGTGGATGTGTTCGAAGCGCAGTGGCACGAGGTCAATCAGCTCGTGCGAATCGCCGCTGCAGTCGGGGATGTCGAAATCCAGGACGTACACTCCATTTTCGGAGTGTGCTCGTCCGATCTGCCTGCGGGGGAAGTTGCGCGCTTCGTAGTGCAGCAGGATGTCCCGCGTCTCGCGGTCCGTGCTGAGGTCGACGCCGCAATCCATGAGCTGTGCGGCGGACAAGAGGTTGAAGCGCAGGTTCTGGACGATTAGCACATCGTTAAGTGTGATGTGCGTGCGGCTTCCGCGTGCTTTGAGCACGACGATGCCTTGCGCGCTTGCGCGCAGGCGCGTGTTGTTCGCCACAGTGACGTAAGTGACGGCAGGGGTGGCGACGGCGTTGGATATGTAACGCTCGGAGCCCACCATATGCTGGCCGCAGCAGCTGTCCAGGTACCAGGTGTTGTAGCGCTTGTTGTCGTCACGTGCGAGCAGCGCCAGTCGCGGCGTGACGATGTGCAGCGAACTTAAAAAATTGTTCGAGCGTGAGCCAATTGAGTGGCGCCACCCGCATATCAGGTACGTGCGGGGGACTTTCAAGCGCCGGGACTAAACGGTGTCGGTGAAGTCGCGGCGCGGACTAAACGGGTTGTTGTTGGTGAACGCGCCAATCGGGTGCGGTGCCGGCTCAGGTGACGGTGAGCGAACGCGGCGACGACGCGACTCGCCTGTCATGGCCATGCTGCTCATGACGTTGCGAACTGGGGCAGTCGAGGACGGCTGCTGCTGCTGATGCTGAACTGCTGGGTTCAGGTTGCGCGCGAGGGGGGCTGATACCCTTGGGCTGGACATACGTCGCCTCGTGCGTCTTGACGGCCGGACCAGGTGCTCGGATTGGTCTGGCGAGGGCGAGATCGGTTCTTGCATCGATCCGCCAGATGCCCGAAATTTCTGCAGATCTTGCAGTAGAGGCACCGTGGATTTCGCTCTTCGTTGTTGTCGGCGTAGAAGGCGAGCCGTTCGCGTTCTCGTCGCGGCGCTGGTCGCTGCTGGTCCATATCCCTTTGTTCGACGAGAAGGGCGGCGCAAAGGGCGGCCTCCGAGATGACCCCCTGCTGTCGGAGAAGCGCCTTGCAGGGCCGCCACTCTGGGCCGAGCCCTTGAAGCACGATGTTGACGAAGATTTCTTCTGAAATCGTGCTTCCCAACTTCACGATTTGATCGCGAAGGCTCCGACAGCGGTTAAGGTAATTGTTGACCTTCTCCCCTGCGGTCATCTTAGTTTCCAGGAGTTCCTGGAGTAGTCGGCTCGAAGAGACAGAGTCCTTGGGCTGGTAGACTCCTGTCAGGTGCCGCCAGGCGTTAAGGGCTGGAGCAGCTGTGGTTTTGTATGAACGAATGTTGAGCTGCTCCGCCGCCGACATATTCCGCAGGAGCACCCCGTACGCCATCAGCGACTCGTTGTAATACCGCGCCTTGGCGTCGTCGGTGTCCTCAGCAGGCTCCGCGTAGCTCCCGTCGAAATAGTGGAAGATCTGGGCGTTCTGAAGCAGGAGCTCCAGCTCGAAGCTCCAGGTGTAAAAGTCTCTGCCGTCAAAACAGGTACTTGTCTTTATTTTTTATATGCTGAGAAACCTTGATTTGGCGGAGAGAATTGCCTCTTCACTGGGACGGGGAGCCTTGGGGGTTGAGCCATTGGTGTCGAGGGAGAAAGTTTGCGGGTTGTCATTCTGGCCAGTCGGGGCCGGTTGAGAGTATTGCGAGGATGTTCCCGCATCGCCATTCCGCAATGTTTAGAGTCATTGCTCCAAGCTGGTGAGTCGCTGAAGAAGTTGTGCGAGAACTTCGGAGTTGATTGTCGTCGTGTTCTCGCTTGTCGCAGCCGGGTTGGGTTGCGCTTCAGCCGTCAGATTAGTCTGACCACCAGATCCTCCGGCCATCTTCACTCGTGAACGTGTGCCGGACGCCACTTTCCGAATGTCGCAATTTTCGGGAGTGGCAGTGCGAAGGATTCCCGAGCTGCTCTCATACCATGCTGCGATCAGAAGTTGATCGTGGCCTAGGATCTACTCAGGAAGGTTCGCACGCAGTAAGGTAGTGTTGGTGGGCCCTTGACCTCAATAGTAGAGTAAATGTAAAATGCTTGAGATGAATAAAACATGCAAACAAGGTGATATAAATAAGAGTACAATGGAATACGAAAAGACCTAACTAGCCATGTACTCTAAGGGGTACATTCCCTTATTCAAATGCATTCCCAACCGTGCGGCGCGTACAGTTTCGTAACTGTTCCCGCCAAAACCACCTTGCCTGCAGCTGCCCGATGCCGTCTGCTCCGACGGTCCAGATGCGTCCCAACTGTCTGACGCTTCGAGTCAATTCCAACCGTCTGACGCTTCGCGTTCATTCTCGTTACTGCGTGCTTCTCTTTGCTGCGGTGAGGAGTGCACAGTAATATCAAATATTACTATTCGTAACACTTTGTGCGCATCCTCTATTGGGAAACACATATTACAGACTTCGTCACTTGTTCTTGCATTATTGCCAAGCTTGGTTTGGGATGAATATGGAAACCAATTAGTTAAAAAATATGAGAAACTGTATCATTATTCACTAGAAAACATGTACACCGACTGCTGCGTGGCCACATTTTTCTTGCATTATTGCTAAACATGTGCTGTAGTTTCCAGGGGAAGAATAGCCTTACGTTCATAAAGTAACTTCGTAGTGGAAAACTGCGTGGAGGGGATAGGGTGGAGTTCTGTCAAGTTGGGAGAACATACATGATTGACGTGCCCTGGACGCAGGACTTCCCGCGCAGAACCTCACACGGGCAGAGCGAAACAGCATGTGTCCCGTCCAACGGACAGAGAATTTGATCATCGGCGACCCACTACCACCAAGAATGACCTAGAAACATGCGCACGAAACTTTCCCCACAGACCGCGCTTCGGGAACCAAGGGTGTGCTCGTTCGAGGGCAGCCGCTTGTTGTGTGACTCCGACCATGCGCTGCGACAGTAACCATCCCACTTCAATCCCCCAACCAGCAGTCACGGGACTTGCGACAACGAATCGCGGCACGATTCGTCGCAGTGAGCGCGAGATTTCCGACCTGGACGACACTACCTCACGGCCGACACACGGACAGCCGCGCGACGTTGAACCTCCAGGCGGCGCGAAACGCAGCCCCTTTCCAACCAAGTGACTCACAAATTCGACCCGACGCCTCCCGTCAAGAAAACACGATACGTATCCTGGTGGTACAAAAGCTGGTGGCACTCATTACAACCCATCATCGAATTTGATCACGACTCTTCCGCCTCTAGTACCCACCCTTCAGTCTCTTCCGTTCTCAGTTCAAGCACTCCAGCACTTGATCATGGCTCGTGTTTCCTTCATCGCTCTACTCGTCCTAGCTCTGTCGTGCGCCGCATGCGTGTCGCGGACATCTGCGGCGAAAGTGGTTCGCGATGGAACTCTTCAGTGGACTCTCATCACGCAGGCCCTGCAGAAGGGAGGCCAGCACAGCACCTATCTTTCCATCGTCAACAAAGCAGGTTTGTAGCTCATCCAATGCCTTCCAGCTTCCCTTCCCTCGGCTGTGCGTTGTGATTTATCTTACATCGAGAACTGCAACTCGTCGCAGCTCCATTCCGCGTGATCTAACAGATGCTGTTGTTCTTGTGGCGCGCAGGCACGAAGTTTATCACTGACTACCTCTCCACCTCCACCACCGGCTTCACCTGCTTCGTGCCATCAAACGCAGCGTTCAAAGTTCAGAAGGCTTCCGTCCTGGTATGTTCTCTCGCAGCTAAGCATGTGCGACGACTCTCACCCCACTTTTTTACTCGCCGCTTAACTCGTTTACGAGCTCTTCGCAAGATGTCTTCACAGTTACTCCTCCCACGTCGATTACGTTGCCTCTGATTTTTTTCTTCCCGTTCCTGTTTTCGCGCAGAAACCGTGGGCGAAGAGCGCGGCGACTCTCCAGGACCTTCTGAAGAACCACATGCTCAACTTCCAGGCCCTGCCCCCGCGCTTCGTCGCCGACAAGGTCGGCCAGGGTTACACCACGTTCCGCCCCAACGGTCAGATTCAGAAGTACCAGGGCGTCGGCAAGACTATTACCCTGGGTCCGCAGTTCGCGCAGCAGGGCACGCAGCTGGCGAACATCACCAAGGTGCTGTTCAAGGACCCCACGGCTATCTGCTACGAGATCAGCAATGTGCTCGTTCCCCTCAAGTAGATGTGCGGTAAAAGGGTTAGCAATCGCAGCTCACGGTTTCTGATATACGGCTGCAGCAAAGGTGCCAGACTTGTGTTCGTCTTAGTAACTAGCATAACTGGTGCAGCCAAGATAAAGTCTTAGTGACTAATGTTGCACGAGTATTGATGCAGAAGTTGGTACGGATCCGTTGGATAAACAGAATAAAATCTGCTGCATTGCACTATTATCCCCTAATCCCTCAAATACAATCAGCAGCTCACACTGCACCCAACAAGCCTAGCTATTTTTGTAAGCGAACACAAATTTCTGCTAGTATGGTGGTTAAACATTGGCGCAAACCCTAGGTACTTTCTTCCTTGCCTCCTTCCCGGCCTTACCCCTTTCTTCATATTCCCATCAGCTATAACCTATGGAATCATTCCCTTTGTGCGGTGTTACATTAGTGTTAGGAATTTCTACTACCGTCTAGAAAACTTAAATGACTTTTTACATTATTTTGTGGATCAAAGGGAGCTGAGACATATTTTTACCCTAAGAAAATCCCATCTGTCCCGATTTAGGGAATGGATAGGGAGGAAATGACGAACCGCCCTGATATCCAAATAAAAACCAAGCCTCGAAGGTGCGCCAATGCGCCATTGCAGAATAACCACAGATAAACTTGAATGCATGACTAGAGGCTATACCTGCTTGAAAGAATCTAGGCACGGTGAGAACCTCTGCGCGAAGGGATCGGAAATCAGGGTGGCGCCGCATTCTCCCCTGGATACGCTTGAACTGCTAGCAGCTGCTAATTACAACAAATCTTCACAGCCCACGGGATCGATACCTGTATGCACGACGCATAACCACGCAGGTATTCATAGCTGCAGAAATTGCACTAAATATATTTTCTCGTAGCTATCTAAACCTTAGCCTTTTCAGATGTACAGATATTCTATGTCCGCTTACAAATGCACTTCTATGCAAGAAAATGCTAGGCTTGTGTGTTGTAAGCTCCTGGGTAATTTAGGGCTTCGGGGATGGTCCGGTGGTGTTATGCAGGAGATAAATTTTGTTTCTTCCGCACAGACTAATCAATACACTAGTCACTAAGACTGAAGATAATAATGACTGGGGATAACTATAAGGAACTAGCTACTAAGAAGAAAAGTCTGGCACCTTTGCTGCAGCCGTATAAGAGACCGTGAGCTGCGATTGCTAACCCTTTTACCGCACATCTACTTCAGGGGAACGAGGACATTGCTGATCTCGTAGCAGATAGCCGTGGGGTCCTTGAACAGCACCTTGGTGATGTTCGCCAGCTGCGTGCCCTCCTGCGCGAACTGCGGGCCCAAGCTAATGGTCTTGCCGACGCCCTGGTACTTCTGAATCTGACCGTTGGGGCGGAACGTGGTGTATCCCTGGCCAACCTTGTCGCCGACGAAGCGCGGGGGCAGGGCCTGGAAGTTGAGCATGTGGTTCTTCAGAAGGTCCTGGAGAGTCGTAGCGCTCTTGGCAAATGGCTTCTGCGTGGCGCAATGAGGCACGAGCACGGGATGTCAGAACGGCACGTGGAGAAGAAGTTGCGAGGAGGCGTGAGCGACGTGCGAAGGACTAATCGCGAAGAGTTTTTGCGAAGAGTGTCGGATAGTCCGTACGAGCGGTAACGTGTCGGATAGTCCGTACGAGCGGTAACAAGGCGAGAAAAGGGTGTTTAAGTCCTTGCATTTGTTTAGCAGCGAGAACACTTACCAGGACGGTAGACTTTTGAACCTTGAAGGCCGCGTTTGTTGGTACGAAGCAGGTGAAGCCAGTGGTGGAGGTGGAGAGGTAGTCAGTGATAAACTTCGTGCCTGCGCGCCACAAAAACCTCAGCATCCGTTAGGTCACGCGGAATGGAACTGCGACTTGTTGCAGATTTTGATGTAAAACATAATATCACAACGCACAGCCGAAGGAAGAGAAGCTGAAAGGCATTGAAGGAGCCTACAAACCTGCTTTGTTGACGATGGAGAGGTAGGTGCTGTGCTGGCCTCCCTTCTGCAGGGCCTGCGTGATGAGAGTCCACTGAAGCGTTCCATCGCGAACCACTGGTGCGGCTGATATCCGCGACACGCACGCGGCGCACGACAGCGCTAGGACGAATGAAGCGATGAAGGAAACGCGAGCCATGATCGAGTGCTGGAGTACTGGAACCGAAAGCAAGAGAGGCTGAAGAGTCTTCGAGTTTAGTGAGAGCTCTGATAAAATTTGATGATGATTCGTAAAGCGAGTGCCTCCTACTTTTGTACCACTGAGGCTGCATATCGTGTGTTCTTGACGGGAAGTGTTGGATCGAATTCGTGGACTCAAGCACGCACGGCCAGCGGGATTGCCAACGCACCGCCATCAGTTGGAGCGTCGTGCGGCTGTACGACGGTCCGCCGTGATTTGAGCGTCGCTAGATCGGTAATCTCACGCTCACCGTGACGGATCGTGCCGTAATTCGTTGTTGCATGTCCCGTCACTGCGAATGAGGATTTTAGCAAGATTTGAGTTTATCTTTATCCCTAACTAACTACATATTAGTGTCTAGGTCCCTCTTCATCACACCAGACGCTGGTGCATCCAAGGCTTCTTCTACGACCAAACAACCCTTTTGCCGCTCCCTGCCCCAACTGCAATCTCTTTAGCCAACCCCTCATTGCACTCTCTTGCCTCGCAGTCCCGTTTGGCTCTCTCACTTTTTCGCGATTGCACATCCCCTCATTCTCTAGAAACTTGGTGGCTGTCGGTCGTCTTTAGGTCCTCGATGTCACCACTACATTTCCTGGACATCAGCGGTTTGTGACCTATGCGGATGCTATCACTAGAGCACCTCTTGCAATGTTCTCTCGGGACCTTCTGTCAAGTCTTTTCATGTTGAACAATGCGTCCATCCAAGTTCCTACATCTTGTCAGTAGTTGCATTGTGCTTGTGTTGGTCGCTCACTCTCCCGTTGCCCCTGTTGCCACGCCCTCCGCCACATGTTTCACTATGGTATTTTCCAGGTTTCCCGTGGTCACTCCTCCGCTAGGTCCCCTCCCCCCACGTCCTTTTCCGTCCGGTTTGTCGCACGTCGCCACTTTCCTTTGGTTGGGCCACGGAGAGCAGTCATGGGTGTAAAGATGGCAACTTGGAGGTCCACATGTACCTAATTTGACGCAATTCCTCCCTTTAGGGTGAACGTAGTCGATGCCATGTGAATATTCAAAGTGAAACGACCACCCCAACCCTCCCACGCCCGACTTGTTGCTCGTTTTGTGAATGTTTGCAGGACTAAATCAATTCCTATTGGGATCTAGTGAAGCCTTCGATGACTCGTTGACAGTTTGCGTCAAGTGCCTCATGTGTGGCATGATACATTGAGCAATACTCTCGTTTTCGTCCGTCATCTGCTGACCCGTCTATTGTTGTTCGCTCAGGATCAACTCCCTTCTATATTCTTCTTTACGTCGACCACACGGTCTTTGCTATTACGGATGAGTTTACTCTAACATCGGTAAAGACCGAGCTTATGAGGAGTGACCCTTGTCCTAGTTGGGTTGCACCACCATCTTGGCTCGCAGATCGCTAAGGTCAAAGCAACGCGCACCATCACTCTGACTCATTCACACATGGTGCAGCTGATCCTCCGGCGCTTCAGCTTGCATTTCAGGCAAGCGTAGTACTTTTGGCCTACTATTTTCACCAAGGCGCTCTCGCATCTCATGATCATCCGCAGCTTCATACTGCTTGGCATAATTCCACCAGGACGTCACTTATTATGATCTTGATCATTTAACTTTTAACTTGATTCAACTTTGTTTGTCTATATGCATTGACTAGCCTTGTGGCCTCTTGTCTCAAAGGCTAGGCTAGTGGTACCACCCTGAGTTGTACCTTACACATTTTGTTCTTGCTGACTGACCTTGTGGCCTCTTCCATCAGATACTTGACTAATAGTGCCGCTTTTTGCTGTTTCCCATTTTCTAGGTACTGTCAGAAATAACTGAGCAGGAATGGATGAACTAGAACAGAGTTTGGTACAAGTAGGAAACCCTAACTTTGTGTACCCCCTAAGGTGTAACCCACTACAGCCTAGACAATATAAACATGCAATGTTTGACACACCCCCATAGGCGCAGTGGGAGACAACCACAGGGTCACAAGACCAGTCAAAGCAAAGCACAGCAAGCTCAGGGTGGATCTCAAGGATTCCACACAAATTCCGAGCACAAGCAAGCGGTCACAAGACCAGTTCACATGCAGGTTTATAACAAAGCAAGAGATACAGTGATCACAACCTAGCAAAAGTAAACAAGTAGGCATATATATATAGTGATCAC